CGCGCGGAGGTGGGGGCTGGATCCTGCTGTCACAAAGTCCTGGTTGTGACTGGCAGGGGGCGCCTCTCCTTCACTACCCTCTGCCTCTGCCCTGTGCCCAGAGCGTCCTCTCCCCTGGAGGCCCTGGCGGCTGCCTTCTGCTCCGTGCTCTGTCACGTGCTTGTCCAAACCAGTTTCATCACCACGACTCGGTGGCCTCTGCCCGCTGACCGAGTTGAGGGGGACTAAGGTTTCATAAGCCACACGAGGCAGCTGGCAGCCTTCATGTACGACCACAGATGCTTTCCTGTTGTTCAGATCGTTTATGCTTTCAGTGTGCTCATGCCTTGAAAAGTTACGGAAATCATACAACCCAGTGACGGTTCCCACCCTCCCCCACCGAGCGCGGCTCAGGGCCTGGCCACACGGGATCCCGGGCCGTGTCCTGGGCTGCACTGAGCCTCCTGCTGCTGCCGCGTCCCCCGTGGCTGCCAGCCTGGAGCCTGCGCCGGGCTGGGAGGCGGCAGTTTTCAGGGAAATTGGGACTGTGGTCGGGGCATGGAGCACCTTACAGGACTTGATTGGGATCCCCAGCTTCCTACCCCAGCCTGGGTGCTCACTGCTGCCCCCGCTGCCCCTTCTCCCTGGGGACCCCAGCAGCTCTGTCCCTCAGCAGCCCATGAGAGCTGGCAGCGCCCTGGTCTCTGGTTTGAAAATCCTCTTGGCCCTGGCCAGCGTTGCTCAGTGGTTAGTGTTGGCCTGTGCACCGGAGGGTCTCCGGTTCGATTCCCGGTCAAGGGCATGTACCTGGGTTACAGATCTGATCCCCACCCCGGTCAGGGTGCATGTGGGAGGCAACCAATCCATGTGTCTCTGGTGCTTCGATGTTTCTTTTTCCTCTCTCTCTCCCCACTTCCACTTTCTCTAAAAAATCAAGGGGAAATGCCCTCACTCTCAGGTGAGGGTTAAAAATAAATCCTCTTCTTCCAGGGGAGTCCTCAGTCCCCGTGTCAGGGGCCGGTCCCTGCGCCCCACCCGCCCTGGGTTCCTTGGGCTTCTCATTCCTGAGCTGCCGCGATGCCCTCCAGAGGTTTCTGACGGCGGGCGTTGCGGTGGAAATGCGGGAGTGATAGTCATGGCCACTGCGAGTGCTCAGGCCGGGCAGGCGGCCGTGCCTCGTTACCGCCATGTGAGTCACTGAGAGAGAGGATTGATTTTGCCCATGAAACGGATGGGAGGTGGGGACCTCCTGTGCTGTGGTGGCGAGCAGGTGGGGGCGCTGGTCTGCAGACCATCCTAGGGGAATGGGAGGGTCTGCCCTACAGCAGATCTGTCTTCTGTCAGGCTGGTAGGGGCTGGGGTTCAACACCAGATCCTTGGGGCCTCTTGGCTGCCCACCCAGGGGAAGGGAGGAACGCCTCCTGCTTAGGCCCTGCCCCGGGGCAGGAGCCACAGAGAACGGCCCCCAGGACCTGTCACTCTCCCTGTGGCAGGGGGGACGCCTCAGAGGCCCAGAGCCAGGCTTGGATTTCTTCCTGGGCTCCCGGCTCCCATCAGCACCCCCGCCAGTGCAGGTGCTGCCCGTCCTGGGCTGTGCTCTGGGGTCTGTGGCGGGCGGGCGCATGGCTCCTGGCTGACGTTGCCAGAATCGGGTGTTTTTTCCCAGAAGTACTTGAGCTGCCCCTGGATGGGCACCAGTGAGACCCCGAGGTCCCCACGCACTGCCCTCCCTGTGCCCACAGGAGAACCTGATGCTGTCCATCCTGCCCAAGCATGTGGCTGATGAGATGCTAAAGGACATGAAGAAAGACGAGAGCCAGAAGGACCAGCAGCAGTTCAACACCATGTACATGTACCGCCATGAGAACGTCAGGTGCGCCGGCCCCGCACGGGCTCCGAGAGCAGGACGGGGCGGGCCCTGTGGGGTCAGCTGCTTGCTGTGGGTTAAGGTCTCCCCTGGGACTAGAAGCAGAGCCGTGCCCACAGGGTGAGCCCCAGTGTGAGCAGCCTTGCTGACGGGCATCGGGGCTGAGACGTGCTTTGGGCTCGGTGGTCCAGCCCCGTTGCTGTACCAGCATCACCCAGAGCCAGGAAGTGGCATCTGTGACGCCACTCAGCATTCAGGGCCAGCGCCGGGCCCCTGCCTTCCTCCTGGGGCAGGAGGGAGGCAGCCTGGGAAAGGGCCCCTAGAGGGAAGCCCACAGGACAAGCTAAGTGCCAGAGCCCCAAATTCACCCTCAAAGCGCCAGGGTCTCACGGCGTTGGGGCTTGAGCAAGGACCTGCTTCCCCGGGATCCTGGCTGCCCTGGGTTGGGAGCAGGAGCAGGCTGGCGGCAGGGGTGCGGCGGGGCCTCACCGCGGTGCCTCCTCCCTGCAGCATCCTCTTCGCGGACATCGTGGGCTTCACCCAGCTGTCTTCCACCTGCAGCGCCCAGGAGCTCGTGAAGCTGCTCAATGAGCTCTTTGCCCGCTTCGACAAGCTGGCGGCCGTGAGTCCCCTCGCGGTCTGAGCCCGCTCCGTGGGCCCCTCCCTCCCGCCCCTCCTCTGCTTTGCCACTCCCCCCGCCACAGCCCGCGCCCTGCCCTTTCAGAAATACCACCAGCTGCGGATTAAGATCCTGGGCGACTGTTACTACTGCATCTGCGGCCTGCCTGACTACCGGGAGGACCACGCCGTCTGCTCCATCCTCATGGGGCTCGCCATGGTGGAGGCCATCTCGTAAGTGGGTGCCGCTGCAGGGAGGGGGCGCCTGGCCCGTGGGAGGAGCAGGTCTGTCGTGGTGGTCCAGAAGCCCCCAGGCCCCGGAGGAGTCGGCTCAGGCATGTAGTGCGGGACGTAGCGATGTTACGTGGGACGTAGCGGTGACATGCGGGATATAGCGATGATACGTGGGACCAGGCTGGGGGCAGTCCTGCCTGCTCAGTTCAAAGGCAGACAGAAAGCTGGGGGGCACCCAGTTGGCCGCTTGGCCCAGAGGAGGAAAACGCATGTGGGATCCGTCCTGTAGGGCGAGGGCGGGGTGAGGGGGCCGGCATCTGGTGCGGCTTCCCCTGACCCTCCTTTCTGTGTCCCTGGCAGGTATGTGCGGGAGAAGACGAAGACCGGGGTGGACATGCGTGTGGGGGTGCACACGGGCACTGTGCTGGGGGGCGTCCTGGGCCAGAAGCGCTGGCAGTATGACGTGTGGTCCACCGACGTCACTGTGGCCAACAAGATGGAGGCCGGCGGCATCCCCGGGTGAGTGTTCCTTCCCCGTGGCAGGCGTGAGGTCGGAGGGGACGGCCAGCCCTCAGGCCTGTGGCTCGGACAAGGGCCTCCTCCCACCAGGAGCCGTGCTCCTTCTCGGTGCCCGATTCCTTGGTCTGAGGTTGGCTGTGGCCTCTCGGGCCTGGACCTCTGCAGCCGTGTGTCCTCTCTCCCGTGCCCGCTGGCGGGGCTGCCGGGCTGGTGCAATCACACTCCGGCAGTCAGAGTGCCAGCCTCCCCGGAGGGCGTTGCCGTCATGGCCCGCAGCGGGCTCGGAGCAGCGCCTTGCCGGTTACAGAAGCGGCTGGGCCAGGACCTGCCTGCGCTCGGGGCAGACAGGCTGAGGGCTGCTGAATCCTGACCCCAGGGCCAGGGAGCCCCTCAGGCAGTCACCAGCCTCTCCCTCGGGGTGACTCCCTGCCCCCGAGAGCAGGTGCAGACTTCTGAGTGTCCTTCTCGTGTGTACTCCCAGCCTGTGAGGACACAATGTTACTCCTGTCTCATGGACTTACACTGAGGCTCCGAGAGGGGCAGGGGCCACACCGCCCACACAGGACCTCCCTGCCTCTGCCCCGGGTGGCCCTCTGTCCCATGCACCCCGAGAGTCTGGCCCGGGCGGCAGCCTGGGCCGGGACAGGGAGCAGGTGAGGGCCCGTGCTCAGGGCCTCTGGCTGCGCTGCAGGCGCGTGCACATCTCCCAGAGCACCCTGGACTGCCTGAAAGGAGAGTTCGACGTGGAGCCCGGCGAGGGGGGCAGTCGCTGCGATTACCTAGAGGAGAAGGGCATTGAGACCTACCTCATCATCGCGTCCAAGCCAGAGGTGAAGAAAACCGCCTCCCAGAATGGCCTCAACAGCTCGGTGAGTGTCCCGCCCCCTGCACTGGGGGACGGGAAGGAGGGGTGACAGGACTGGGCGCGGCCTGGTGGCGGAATGAGCTGTGAGGTGCAGGTGGGCATCACAGCGATGTGAGTCCCACTGAGCAGGTGGCTAGAGGCCTCCGTTCCGAGGGCCAGCTGGTGTCTGCGGGCGGCGACTGTCCTGTCCGCCGCTGGGAACCGTGCGGTGCTCTGAGCGGCTGGGTTGCAGGGAGGGCCCCTGCAGGGAGGAAGCAGTGGCAGCCACAGGAGTGAGTGGATGCCAAGGGGGGGAGCAGAGGGAGGGCGCGAGGAGGCAGTGGGAGCCCCTCCTTACTCACCTCGGCCCCCTCCCGGGCCCAGGCCGGCTCTCCGCTCACCTTTTACCTTCGTTCATGTGAAGGTGAAGCTGTGAACAGTCTCATGTCTTTAGTTATTCCCAAGGCAGGACACTTAATGTGGCTGTCAGCCAGGTGAGTGTCTGAGAATCGCACATTCATATCCACCCTTGGAGGCTCTCCCCAGCTCTGGATTCTAGGAGCGCTCCCTGAGAGGAAGGGCCCGTTGCCATATGACATTCAGCAGCTATTTTATCAGGCGTCCCTGCCTGCCAGCACTTGGTACGCCCTCTCAGGGAGTGTAAGTGTCTGCTGGAGCCTGGTTCTCTCCCCGCCATGGCTGCGCAGCCGCCGCCCGCCGCTAGGGGGGGTGGGGCAGGACTGTCCTGAGCGCAGGGTGAGCCTCACAGCTGTGCAGGTCTCCAGCATTCAGAGCACCGCCTGCTCTACAGTCAGGGGGACGTGAGCGCGCGTGAAGGATGTGGGAGGGTCACGGGAAGTCACAGGAGCAAACAGTTCCTTCGCGGAAATCTCCAGGGTTTAGTGGAATGAAGTGAGGAGAGTGTGAGCAGGCATCTCCCTTATCCCAACCCCGTCAATCTCACTGTCTGACATGCCACCTCTGACAACCCCCAAGCTTAGCTCCCAGCCCCAGCCAGCGGCCCCGCGCGCAGCTACAGCCACTGGTGCGTCTCCAGGCGTGTGCAGAGCAGGCAGCTCGGAGTTCCCAGGCGACGGCGCGCTCGCTCCTGCTCTCCACACTCAAGCCTCTTCGGCAGTCTTTCCACCTTCAATAATAGAATCCCTTCCTAAATAATTTGAACTTCCTCACCTCTGCCAGTGGGCTCCATTTTTTCAACGTGCTCACACCAGAAGCTTTGAGGATCATCTTGACTCCCTCCCCCCTTTTTAAAAATATATTTTTATTGATTTCAGAGAAGAAGGGAAAGGGAGAGATAGAAACATCAGTGACAAGAGAGAATCATTGATTGGCCGTCTCCTGCATGCCCCCCCCACTGGGGATCAAGCCCACAAACCGGGCATGTGTCCCTGACTGGAATCGAACCAGTCACCGGGACCCTTCATCCGGCAGGCCAATCCTCTATCCACAGAGCCAAGCAGGCAGGGCCTTGACCCCTCTCTTTACCACCCAGAGCAAGTTCTGTTGGCATTTCTACCGCCCACAGCTACCATCCCTGTCCGTGCCACTGTCATCTCGTGTAGGATTCCTGCAATCGTATTCAACCAGTCACCCTCCTCTGTCCTTGCCCCTACCCTGTCACCCCCCTGCTCAGAACCCTCCATGGGTCTCCTGTCTCACTCAGAGGAGCAGTGGTCAGCTGGGGACAGGCCCTCACCGCTGGTCCCCTCACTCACTCTGCCCGGCAGCCCTGGCCTCAGCTCCCCCAGTTCATGCCTGTTCCAGGGCCTTTGCACCAGCTGCTCCCTCTTGGTGGAATTCCCACCCCCCCAACCCCCCCACCCCCCCTCAGCAGGCCTTTATTGAAATGTCATCTGCATGGTGACACCTCCCAGACCTGTTCTTTGTAGTCACACTCGGCAATCCGTGTCTCCGGACTTCCTCCTCCTCCAGAGCACTTTCTCTCTCCTTCCGTGCTGTGACCACTTTACTGACTGCCTTTCCTCCCTAGAATGTGAGCTCCCAAGGTCAGGGCATTTTGTCTGTATCGCCAGGAATTAGATCAGTTCCTGTCACATAGTAGGTACTCAGTTAATGCTTATTAAATGAATGAATGACTTCCCTGTGTGATAGTGTTTAGCTTATTTTATCAAGGAACATTGGTTTGTGGAATATTCAGACTTGGAGGCATCTGACAGGGCTCCGCACCAGAAAAGACCCCTGTGAATCACTGAGCCGTTGAGGTACTGTTTTAGGAATAGGAATGGGAGTACTGGGACAGGTTTTACTAGTAGAAATTAATACTAGAAAATTACGGCATTTAAACGCTAGAGGAGGAATTGAGTAGTGAAGTTTCCAAGTGTACAAGGCTTCTGAACGCTAGCGAGGAGACTGCAGACTGCAGGTAGACGCACCACAGGACGGTGGGCAGCTGGCAGTGTCTGGAGTCCCTGATGGCGCTGCTTCCCCTGCAGGCCCTGCCAAACGGAGCGCCAGCGTCCTCAAAGCCCAGCTCCCCTGCCCTTATCGAGACCAAGGAGTCCAATGGGAGTGTCCACACCAGCGGCTCCACATCGGAGGAGCCCGAGGAGCAGGATGCCCAGGTATGTGCAGGGCTGAAGGCCAGGGTGTGGGCAGGTGACGGTTGCCGCAGGAAGAGTCCTGTGCTCAGAGTTGGAGAGCTAGCCGCCAGCCTGGGCTCTGTTCCTTGTTAGCAGTGTAGCCCTAGCAAGTCACCTTCCCCCAAGCCTCCTTGTCCTTTACATGGGGTAGGGGTGGGTAACATCAAAAGAGGTACTCGCCCTGGCTGGGGTGGCTCAGTTGATGGGGCGTCATCCTATGCACCAAAAGGTTGCTGGTTCGATTCCCGGTCAGGGCACATGCCTGGGGTTGAGGGCTCAATCTCTGGTAGTGGGGGTGCAGAAGGCAGCCGATCCATGTTTCACTCTCACATCGATGTTTCTCTCCCTCTCCCTTCCTCTCTCTAAAAATCTTTAAAAAATACACAAAGAGGTGCTTA